TTTTTTTTTTTTTTTAAAATCGATTTTTGCCTTCAAGAATCGATGCAGTAGATCACAAAAATTAGAATCACGATGCATCGATTTGACGATTATTTTGCACACCCTTAGCGGTAATGCACCAAAAGTTGTTTGCCAACCGCCATAAAACCCAAGAAGAAGAAGACGAAGAAGGAGGGAATCAAGCAAATCAAAATGGCGGCGCCCGTCACATTCAGAAAGTTATGCTTGATTATTATTACTGTGCTTTGGTGTTATTATTTAAAATGTTACTTACATATTATGATCACACATTTTAAAGGGTGAAATATGAGCTTCTATTGTGGAGGGTTGAGGCTTCATTTACCAAATAAACTTGCTGTAGTTCATTTATAGGTTGGTGGACTTTGAAATCGTGCTTTTTAATAATGAACTAGCATAACTTTGGCCACTTATCAGTATAATTTCCCCCTTTAGACGTACGGATTGTAGATATGATTCCTGTTGCCTCTCTAACAGGAAGCTGTCTATAAGCAGCAGTCTGACCTTCACTCGTCACTCACGCCTTGTTATCAGCAAACATCTAATGTGTTTACAGACATTTACTGACCCTTCAGTTGTTTATAAGTGTTGAAGAGATGAAAACAGGGTGAGCAACAGGAAGTTGGCGCCTCCCAGGAAAAAACGTTTGGTTTTCTAACCGCAGCTTCCTCAGAGATCAGGAAGTAAAGCGGCTCCTGGGCTTCTGCTTTGATGCTAATAAGCTAAGCTGTGATAAAATGAATGAACCTGAATCCCTGCAGCCTCCTGTCTGACCAGCTGCCTGCTCTGTGTGTGTTTGCTCAGGGCTGGGAGGAGGAAGAGCATGGCTACCTTCCTGTGTCTGGCTGGATGCGCCTGCCTCTGCAGCACCTTGATCCCAGAGAACACAGGTGAGCTGCTGCTGCAGAGGATATGATGCAGCCTGCAGAGGTTCACTGAGCAACGACGCCATCCGATCAGCAACCATCCTACTTCCTCTTTACTTCCTGAGTTGCCAGCTTTAAACTTTCTGTTTGTTTCTTAATCACATTATGAACATTTAAGGAACTAACCCCCACAAACCCACCCCACATCAGCTCCTTCACCATTAATGGGAACTAGCCCAGTGACGCGCTCACTGGTTGCCATAGTAACTCAGTACTTTCCCAGCACATGCCCACAGCACCACTCCTCCGCTGATTTTCCGCGCTGTCATTTTAGAAAGACGAAAACCAGCTTCAGTGGAGGTCAAAGGTCAGACACGTCATGTAGGTCAAACCAAAATGGCGTCGCTGCAGAGAATAATTTAAAACCGGTTTTAAAGCAATATCTGAACGACTGATTGAAGCGTTTTCTCTGACCGCCAGAGGAGAACTGGAAGGTTTAAGTTTGGTCACTAATAAATGTAATGAAACAATGATTATAAATAAAGACATAAAATGCAGAGGGTTAAACGTGTTTGCAGCTGCGTCTGCTGACCTGATTGTGTGTTCACGTGTAAACGCGTCTGCGTTAGAGCGGCAGGCATCTAATGATCGAAGAATCTATGAAGGTAGATTTGTTCAATCAATAAAAAAGGTTGCTTCAATCAAAAAATATATTTTCAATTAAAAAATCTTCACTTCAGTGAAAAAAAAACTTCTGTCAATCAAACATGTCTGACCAATAGAGAATCACCCGCCCACTGCGGAACGTTTGTGTCAAAATTATTCAATCAAAAAAATTTGAACTTCAAAACTTTTTGCACTTAAAAAAAAATGTATTCAAATAAAATAATTTGAACTTCAATTTTTTTTTTTTCACTTCCAAAAAACCAAAAAATGTGTTTATAGGGTAATTTTTTTGCATTCGTAGTTTTTTCTTTTCTTTTTTTTTCTTTTTTCTTTTTTATTTTTTTGACTGAAACATTTTTTGGGAATTGAATGATTAAGACACATTATATGGTCCAATCAAAAAACAATGTTAAAAAAAAGTTGCTTTAAAAAAATAAAAGACTGCACTTCTATCAAATAAAACATTTTCAATCAAAGAAAAGCAGAGTTTAAATCTATTTTTTTGAGTCACAAATACATTTTTGCATTCAAACACTTTTTTCTTTAATTGAAGATTTTTTTAATTGAAAAAATATTTTTTGATTGAAGCAACCTTTTATTTGATTTAATAATAAAGAATACTAATTTTTTTAACTTTTATTTTGTAAAGAAATAAAAAGGCGCTGAAAAATGAAGAAAAATAATTTTTATCGATAGCGTATCTCATTTCCTGGGTTCTAGTCAAGAACAGACTTGGGGAGAAAACGAGTCACGTTCTTGTGAATTAAGAAACGGCCATAGTGATGCTCTCTAATTGTGTCAGTCGACCTTTCCCAGGGGCAGAAACGTGACATGTGGAACCAAAGATAGGTTCCTCCTTATTTTTAAGGTTCTTTTTATCCAAACTGCACGAAGCTTCTAATGCAGGCTAACCTCAGCGACTCCCCATTACTAACAGGTTCTTTTGGTTCTATTTGCATGTTTTCTAAGCCATAGCAAGGCTTTGTTGGTGAATTCTATAAAGCCTGGAACACATTTTGAATTGAAAAATCTTCCTGGATGGGAAGTGAAACGTCTTCAAACTTGGAAACAAAGTCCAGAGGATTGTTTTCTAACTTTTTTTCTACTTTTTTGTAATTACTATGACCTGGTTGACTGAGAATCTTCACCAGTATACATGAACCTTAACATTGACTTACTGATAGTTTGAATGAACTCATTTTTAAGTGAACGTTGAAATAATGTAATTAGTTGACCGAGATGGCAGCTACAGTGATCCTTCCTTATTCTGTGACTGCGTCCAACAGGAACTTTAAATGAGAGCGTTTTGTTTTAGGCCTTCCATAGAAACATTAAAGTTAGCTGTCAGTTACTGACCTCTTTAGAAAGCCGATCTCACAGTAAAACTGCAGCTCGTCATGATATTTAAAGCTCAGTTAGTCGCTCAGCGTCGTGCTTTTCTCTGCAGAGTGACTTTATTTTCATAATGAGTGAGAAACGTGAGCCGAGCTGCTGCTCTTCCAACAGGGACTCTGCTGAGCGTCACGTCTTTGGCTCTGCTGGGAAAACTGATGGTCAGCGCGGCGTTCAACATCGCCTACGTCTACACGTCCGAGCTGTACCCCACCGTGATCAGGTGAGCCGGGCATCTCCACGTAGATCCGTTCGGGTCGGAGTTCAGACGTAAACGGAGGTGTTTGTGCCGCAGGAACGCCGGGCTGGGCGTTTGCTCCATGTCCTGCAGAGTCGGAGGAATCCTGGCTCCATTCGTTCCTTCGATGGTGAGTTTCTCATGACCAGGCCACAGAAAAGGTTTGAATTTATGCAAAAAACACGGTGCTGTTGGAGGGAAGGAACTTCCTCCAACGCTCAGTTTGGTTTTCTGTCTTTTTTTAAACTCCGTTTAGCAGAAGGCGTTTCAGGTCACGCTCTGTCAGATCTCTGCTTGTCGAGGCGAACGCAGTTTCTTCACATCTTTATTTACTGATACAAGGGGGGGGGGGGG